ACTTCCCTGGCCAGTTAAATAACCCCTCCCTGGACTCTGACTCTGAGGAAGTGGAAAAAGAGGTTAAGAACTCTACTGGAAGTGTCCACTCCTCAAAGCTGAGCCCTGGTGAGCTCAGAGTTCTTCTGCAGGTCCCCACTCTGAGTCAGATTTGTGGACCAACAGAAGTTTTCTTCGTCCAGCCAGTCTCTAAGCCTAATCTTCAGTCCCCTTGGTTATTCTACAGGCTCCACCATCCTCACAATAAATGAACTCTTGCTGTCTTGGATATTGCAACGGACGTACTGCAAAAGACTCTCAATATTTTGGGTGACGTTTCAAATCTGCAGAGATATACTAGTCTACTCAGAAAATGATTTCAGAAAAGTGATCTAACTATTTGGAGAGAAAAAGTTAAATCCATCAAATAAATTCCAGAGTACTAAAGAGTTAACTACAAAAAATAACAGGACACCATAACCTGACAACCAGCAAACTTTCCTAGAAGGCAAAATGTCAAGGTAGGAAGTTATGGAGGAAACAACATCTTGGGAAGGAGCAAGTCTTTTTAAGCACAGTTCTCAGGTAAGACTATAAAGGGCAACACTAGTAAATTTGAATACACAAAAATTTAAAACTTCTCTATGTCAAAAAAAATAAAAAGGCAAGTAATAGTCCAGGAAACATATTTGCCCAATAAAAGCCAAATGATTCAAAACCACAATATATAAAAAACTCTTTTAAGTCAATAAGATAAATATTTAAATCTAAAACTGGGTACAGATCATATACAGGCAATACACAGAAGAAGAAGATAAAATATGAATGTGGCATAAACACTTATGCATTATATATAATTAGATACATATTTATATGTATAACATATATAAGCACATATATGCAATTACAAATTAACAAAAAATTCAGTCATTAATATTTAAAGAAATTCAAATTAGAACAATGATATAATCTTTTACCTTTCAAATTATCAAGGATTAAAAAGAGTAACAATTTTCAGTGCTGGCAAGGGTGTAGGAAGAACATTCTCACATATTGGGAGTATAAACTGGCAAACTTTCCTAGAAGGCAATATGCCAATATGCATCAAATGTTCTAAAGATATGGATTCATTTTGGTCATGCAAGTCTACTTTAAGGAGCTATAAAAATAATTTGTATAAGTATGATGGCCAGCCGGGCTCGGTGGCTCAGCCTGTAATCCCGCGCCTTTGGGAGGCTGAGGTGAGTGGATTGCCTGAGCCCGCGGGTTCGAGACCCGTCTGGGCAGCGAGACCTCAACTCTACAATAAATCAAAAAATCAGCTGGGCGTGGTAGTGCATGCCTGTAATTCCGGCTACTTGGAAGGCTGAGGCGGAAGTATCACCGGAGCCCAGCAGGTCGAGGTTGCGGTGGCCGGGAGCAGCCACTGCACTCCAATCTGGGCAACAGAGTGAGACTCCAACTCAAAAAAATAAATAAATAAATAAGTATGATGGCCACCTTCCTAACTGCAAAAAGCAGAGATTTGGCTAAATACTTGTATATTCATGTAGAGAGAGTAGCCACTACAAATAAAGTTGTAGACAAACATTTTAAAACAAGGAACAATATTCATGATCAATTAAAAATAAATCACAAAGCAGCATGAAAAGTATGGTGTATTTAAATATATTAAATATATATGTATACATACATGCACACACATACATACACATATTATACACAGAAAAGACTGGAAGGAGATAAACTGCCTGGAATTATGGTAGTGCTCTTTTAAAAAATTTCTATAGTAAATTTGTAATTTTTACAACAGGAAGGGACATATCTTTGACTTGTTTTATATAGGTTTTACCTCATTTAATATTCTATGAAGAACTCAGGGCAGGTAATTGCCACACTTAACAGGAAAGGGAGCTAAGGTTGAGAGAGAAAGTGACTTGTCTTAAATAATATAACTAGTGTTTCATGAAGCCATGACTTCAATCCTACATTGTTGCCCCTACACATGTGAACACACTGGCCTGCAGCTCTCAGATCACTGGCCTTTGTGTGAGCCAGGACAGAGAGATGCCCAAGACCAGCTCTAAAATAAGAGAAGTATTGATGACTTCATGGCACTGTTTGACCAAAGATATGTATGAGAGTGCACATGTGTATAAACATCTGTGGGCATATGATGTCCTTTTCAACTATGTGGAGGTACTAAAGTTGGTAAGGAAGAGGGACACCTTTCCTATCCTTTTCTGCAGTCTAGGATATAGGGAAACAAGGTCCGAGATGAAGACCAGGAGGGGTCGGCCCTTCAAGACTGGGCACTATGCATGGATCTGGACCTTCAGGTACTTCTCCCCAATCACTCTGTCTCACACATGGAGGGCCCTGCACTGGAAAATGGGATCTGAGGGGGAAAAAAATGCCCAATCCCTTGTAGGTTGCTAGATTTTTACCATATTCATGGCATCTAGTATTTAGGAAAAAAGAAGCTGACCAAGATGGCAAGTCTCCCTTTCTAATGGATATGGGAATCCGGGTTGTGAATTCTTAGTAATCATAAGACTATACTACCTGAGATTACTGCTGCGCACATCATACAGGGATGAAATATGATTAATGTTCTCTAGGTCATATTCCACAGAAAAATAACAAGATTAAGCTCTAGCAATACATTCGTGAAATTCAGTAGGTGCTTCAGCATTGAAACTGTGCCAACTGACACTCATCTTGCTGGCCTTTGAAGATAATGCAGAGAACAGCAGGCTTCCCAACAGCTGCCCCTGTTAATCCAAACAACATGACCCCAAGACAAGGAGGCAGGGCCCTGCTGCAGAAATGCTTCTGGTAATTCAGTACTGACTTCTCAGAATGATAGCCACAGGCAGAGCAAGCAGACAGCAGCTGTGGAGGAACATGGCTCTGAAAGGTAGCTTAGCATTGTCTCCAAGATAAAGAAATATATGCTAATGCCACCATACCCAGGAGCCATGGTCCCATCTGGAGTCTAAAGTATATCCATACCTGAATACATCCATACACACTTCAATTTCTGTCCTAGGTAGATGCATGCATTACGGTACCATGAGTTAAATTATCTTGAAATAATAGTTCCATCCAACAAACCTTTATTGATCTTCTACAATGTACACAGCACACTGTCTACAATTTGCCTAGATCTAAAAGAAAACACTCTTTTTAAAATTAAATAATGAGAAATATATTGTTCTAATGTACTCATTTTCAAGCCTATAAGTATTTTGGCACTGGAAATTGACTTGCAAAATTGAACTTTTAAAATTCAGTGCAAATAACAGCAAAGTAAATAATCAACAGAGTGAACAGAAAACCTACTGAATGGGAGAAAATATTCGCAAATTACATGTCAGACGAAGGGCTAATATACAGAATCTACAACGAACTCCAACAACGAACACAAAACAAAACAAATAACCCCATCAAAAAGCAGGCAAAGGACATGAATAGACGCTTCTCAGAAGAAGACACACAAGTGGCCAACAAACATATGAAAAAATGCTCAACATCACTAATCATCAGAGAAATGCAAATTAAAACCACAATGAGATATCACCTCACACCTGTCAGAATAGCCATTATTAGAAAGTCAAAGAACAACAGATGTGGAGAAAAGGGAATGCTCATTCACTGTTGCTAGGATTGTAAACTAGTTCAACCTCTATGGAAAAAAGTATGGGGATTTCTCAAAGAACTAAACTTGAACTACCATTTGACCTAGTAGTCCCATTACTAGAGGTCTACCCAAAGGAAAAGAAATCAAAATATAAAAAAGATCTCCGGACTCATACGTTCATTGCAGCACTATTCACAAGAGTGAAATCATGGAACCAACTTAAAGGCCCACCAACAATTGATTGGATAAAGAAAATGTTATACACCCTTCTCCCGACACACCTCTCACGACACCATGGATTACTATCCAGTCATAAAAAAAAGAATAAAATCATGTCCTTTGCAGCAACATGGATGGAGATGGAGATCATCATCCTAAGTGAGCAAACTCAAACAGAAAACCAAACTCTGCATGTTCTCACTCATATGTGGGAGCTAAATGGTCACAAAGACGGAGGTAACAGACATAGGGGCCACCAATAAGTGGGAAGGTGGGGAGAGAGGTTAGGGTTCAGAAATCACCTATGGGGTACAATGTTCACTATCTAGGGAATGGGCCACCTGAGACCCAATCCCCACCACTACACGTATGTCCATGTAAAAAACATGCATGTGTATCCCAGATCTAAAATAAAGATTAAAAAAATTCAGTGCAAATAAGAATCAGTGCAACAAATGCTGCAATATAATAGCTACTCAAGGTATTTATTTTAGAATAGCACTACAAAGTGATCCTTAAAAATATAATACACAGCCAGATATAATATATAAAATATAATACACGTTGGCTCATGCCTGTAATTTTAACACTTTGGGAGGACGAGGTGAGAGGATTGCTTGAGTCCAGAAGTGTAAGACCAGCCTAAATAAAATAGTGAGACCTTGTCTCTACCAAAAAAAAAAAAGTTGGGCATAGTGGTGCATTCCTGCAATCCCAGCTACTCGGGAGGGTGATGCAAAAGGATCAACCGAGCCCAGGAGGTCAAGGCCTGTGATTGCACCACTGCATTCTAGCCTGGGCCATAGAGTGAGACCTCAACCAAAAAAAAAAAAAAAAAAAATACACACACACACACACACACACACACACACACACACTACATATATATATATATATATATATATATATATATATATATAGAGAGAGAGAGAGAGAGAGAGAGAGAGAGAGAGTAAATGATTTATAAATAGAACAAGTTTTAATCAGATGAATTTCTAGAAATGAATCAGCCTAAATTCTCTACACAAGTAGGAAACATCAGAATTAACTGAAAGTTTACATGAAAACCCAAGAAAACAATAAAATTATCCTTAAAATTGTTCTCATGCAAAATCAAAGCCTATGACCTTTATGAAAAGGTTTGCATTTCATTACTTACCAACTGACAGCCTTCTAAGGAGTTGACTAGCTGAGCATTCTGACAGGAGAGGATTGAACCAGCCAAATTCAGCATTACACACACTGCTGAAAGCAGCATGAAAAAGGTTATCTGGAAACAAACCAAACAAAAAATTGATTATTCACTTGGAGAGGCTTGAAGGAAAAATGATTTGGCTTTACAACAACTTTCAGTTGATCAAACAATTACATGAATAATATGTATGTGCTTTAAAATAAAGTGTTTGTTTCTCAAAATTCCAAGTTCATATGACCATAAACAGAAAAGGTAAAATCTGTGAAAAGCCAGAGCAAGCCACCATAATTTTATTTGAAATCTACTATGATAAAATATTTAAGAAGATAAACTTGAAAAGACTACGCATTACATACTCTCAATATAACAAGTTATAAATTATTTAGAAAATCCAGTGAAAGGACTGTGTTAAGTATAAGCCTTTACATTTTCTCCTTTTAATTTTTATTATGGAAAATTTCACACACATGCAAAACCAGAGAAAACAGTATAATTAAGCCCCATGTTCTCATCATTCCACCTCAATAATTAATCCACTTATGACCAACAGTGTTCCATTTATAGCCCCTCCCCACCGGATTGTTTTCGTAGCAAATACCAGACATCATATACTTTTATCCTTAAATACTTCAGTGTATAGATCTAAAGTAATGGAAACATCACCAAAATACTGCCGTCACATATAATTAAAATTGCATTAATAGCATTAAATATTTAGAGGTTAACATTTCCCCAACTGTCTCAATTTTTTTTAATACTCTAAACCAGGCTACACAGAATGTAAAGAAGGTCAGTATAGTACAACTGGTTGTTTTGCATCTTAGATAGCTTTTGGTCTATGGGTTTCCTCCCCACATTGTATGTTTCTTTTCCTTGTAATTTATTGGAGAAACTAGTCCTACAGAACTTGTCTTGAGAGAGTTGCCTACAGCCTACTCTTCCTGATTGTAGCCTTCTACTGTTAAATGTTTCTTTAGGCTCTATATTCCTTGTAACTTGGTAGTTAGATCCAGAGGTTTGACCAAATTCAGACTGATAAAAGGTAAATATTATCTCTTTTTGTGATGTTAGCAACCATTTTTGATGATTGCTCATATCTATTAATTTATTATGATTTCCAAAATAACGCGAATCTAACTATCATTTCCTTTGTTTATTAACAGGAATACATATATAGAGACTTTCCCTCATCAAATATTTTGTTACCCTGAGGTATAGTTCAAACAGCAAAAGTAGACTTTTTTTGCTCATTTTCCAGACTTTAAAATAATTAGCTGATATGGTGCTAGAATTGCAAAAGAAACACAAGGAGGGCTGTATGGTTAATTAAAACTCTTGCTGAATTTATGTAAATAAACAGGCCAAATCTAGTGAAACAGACTTTTTGTGATCAGGAATAATCTTTAAGGTTAATATGTTCAAGAGAGGGGAGACTGTCAGGAAAACTTGTTACAGATTTTGAAATGAGCCAAACAAAATATTAGATATCCTGTCTAGTGTACCCTTTAGGGCTTTTTTGTATTTTGTGTCATTCATTGTCTTTATGCTATTGATCTCATAAAGACAGAGAATACAATAATAACCACAGTCTGGGAAGGGTGTGAGGGGGAAATGAAGAGAGGATGATGAATGGGTACAAACTCATACAGTTAAATAGAAAAGTAAGTTCTAATGTTCAATAGTACAGTGGAATAACTATAGTTAGAAACAATATATTTCAAAGTAGTGAGAAGCCAGGACTTGACATGTTACCAATATATGGAAATGATAAATACTCAAGGCGATGGATACCCCAAATACCCTGACTTGATAAGATTCTTGACAATATAAATGTAAATACATTTTGTCTGGTGGAATGTAATTGATTGCAACGCCATAGATAATAATCATTTTTACATCTCTTTATAAATTTATTTCAGCATTCCTGATTGCCTACATGTGTGCAATGTTTGAATTCTCCTTTGCACTGCTTGTAATATCTTACTGGTTCCCTCATTAAATAATGAATTAAATATAATCTTCGACACATATTTATTAAAAGAAAAGTTGGTTTCCTAGCATACTCCAAAGTTAACTAATGAGATATTGTTTTACTTGTCTGTCTGGCATGTGTGTATGTGTTTAAGTCATGGACTTAAACACGTTTAATATGTTTCAATCATTGGTGTCAGTAGCCAGAGAGAGTCCACTCAAATTGACACTTGGGTCCTTTCAACACAACTCTATGATAGCTTTCTTGCTTTCTGGTATGACAAGGTGCTCCAGGATGCTCTTACACATTTTCTGCCCAAGATTTGGAATCAGTCACTTCTGCAGTAAGCCCAGGTTCCTTTCTATGAGAATGGTATTTAGATACCACAATGTTTGTGCTAGAGATGCTCTTCACGACTTAAGGGTCACTGTTTCCATCTTTTCAGTTGTCAGACACATCGAGCGTTCACAATGAAGTTTCTGATTTAAATTCAAAACTACCATGTTTTTACTTAACCACATCAGTGTTACATCCGTACCTCTTTTTTCCATGCCATAAGTTTTATTTCTCAATATAGTCATCTGTTGGATTTACTTTCACAATACTCACACAATAGTCACAAAATAACAATACCAGTACAACTACCAAAAACATGACCATAGAAAAGTTTAAGATTTATATTTTTTATCCTAAGAGTACATTATATCAAAAATAGTCCATTGTGGTGTTTTAACTCCACACAGTTACTTTACATTTGATTATGCTACCGATTAGGAACTCTAGTTCATTTGTTTTATTTCACTTTTTATTACTTAGGAATTGTTTCTAAATTTGAATTTCATTTATAATTATATAAAATGATTCCAAAGTCATGTTCATAAAAGAAGTTCCAAGTAAGTCTAGACTTTGTTTTGTTTCTTCCACTCTATTTCCTCCCTTCTCTTATTAATAGGTGAGCATTCATGTTTTTGTTTTTGTCTCACTCTGGAGTTGAAGTCTCACTCTGTTGCCCAAGCTGGAGTGCAGTGGCACGCTCACGGCCACCCCAGCATCGACCTGCTGGGCTCCGGCAATCCTTCCGTCTCAGTTTTACAGGCAGCCGGAACTACAGGCTCATTTTTTATTTATAGTAGAGACGAGGTCTTGCCAAGTTGCCCAGGCTGGTTTCGAACCTGTGGGCCCAGGCAATCCACTTGCCTCAGCCTCCCAAACTGCTGGGATTACAGGCTGAGCCACCGAGTCCAGCCTCATTCACGTTTTAATTTTATACTTTATCTTTCCATCATCTGATTTTTAGCAAAAGCAAATAAATTGTAGCATATTTCTCCACCTACCTTTTTGCATTTAATATGGTGAAGATCACTCAATACACACACACAGAAATAACTCTTAATCTCTTTTACAACTGACAAATACTTCATTGCACAGATGTACCACAGTTTATTAAATTGGGTCCCTACTGATGGACATCTAGGTTATTTTTAGTCCTTTGCTATTTATTAAAAATATACTGCAATAAACTGCCTTATTCATACATCTTTTTATACGTTTGCTATTATGGCTTTCGGATACATTCTTAGAAGTGGGATTGCTGGATTAAAGGATAAGTGCATATTTAATGTTGCTAGACTTGACCAAATTCCCCACTAATGCAGTGGTAATCATTTTATTTCCACTAGCAATGTATGAGAGTGGTACAGTCTTAATTTTTCTGTTAATGCCTAAAAGAAATATTTTGGTTGAATCAGATTTAGGAAAAATTGGTATTATCATTTTCTACCATAAACATAATTTATCACCCCCAAATGCAGCAAAATTCATTATCCTAAAAAAATGTACATGTAGGATAGAAAACAAAAAGAATATTTGTTCATCTAGAAAATATTTCAAGTTCATAATGTTAGTAATATTTCAACAATGGTTTTAATAACTGTGGAGTCTTACAACATCCTATGGGAAAGTTTGGCTACACAGAAAGGGTCAACATGAATTTTTTGTATTAAAAATTATAACAGTACCATAATATCATTCAAATGATATATGAATAAACTGGCCTGCATCGTTTTGAAATTGAGCTCAGGATATAATTGTTGAAAACATTAAAGGAGCAAACCTACACAGACACCAATAGAAGACTATCTTGAGACATAGGAAGTGCTCAACAACATATGTGATGCTGAGAAGTCAAGGGTAAGAGAAAGTAACATCATTTTTCATGTTTTTTTTTAATTATGGCAAAACATACATAATGAAAAATTAATTATTTTTTCTTTCTTTTTTTAGTTGGAGTCTCATTCTGTCGCCCAGGCTGGAGTGCATTGGCACACTCACGGCCATCCCAGCATCGACCTGCAGGGCTCCAGTGATCCTTCCGCCTCAGCCTTCCAAGTAGCCGGAACTACAGGTGCATGCTACCATGCCCTGATTTTTTATTTATTATAGAAACGAGGTCTCACTAAGATGACCAAGCTAGTCTTGAACCCATAGGCTCAGTCAATCCACTAGCCTCGGCCTCCCAAAGTGCTGGGATTACCGGCTGAGCCAGAGTCTGGCCAAAACATTTATTATTTTTTTCTAATTTCCTTTTTAAACGGTGATAAAATATATATAGCATGAAGTTTACCATTATAACCATTTTAGTAGTGCAGTTTAATGGCATTAAGTACATTCACATTGCTGTGGAGCCATTGTCACCATCCCGCTATAGAAACTTTTTTCATCTTCTCTAACTAAAGCTCCACACCCATTAAACAATAACTCCTTATTCTTCTCCCTTCCCAGGACTTGTAAATCACTACCATTCTACTTTCTATCTCTGAATTTGACTATTCTATATTATATAAAGGGAATCATACAGTACTTGTCCTTTTGTGTCTGGCTTATTTCACTCAGTATAATGTCATCAGTGTTCGTTCATGTTGTAGCATGTGTCAGAATTTACTTTCTTTCTTAAGGCTGAATAGTATTATAGTTCCAGAAATTGGCCCTACCAATGAAACAACTTTTATGAGTGGGCAAGAACTGTTTGACTCCACTATTATTCATGACTCTGGATTCTAGTTGAATCCTTGCAGAGTCAATGAGGAGAGTTTGACAAAGAAAG